GTTTATGCCTTTAAAAAGCTCTGCTCCACCACCGCCACCTCCTCCACCTCCAACAACTGCGGTGGCCCCACCACCTCCGCCTCCACCTCCAAGAACTTCGGTGGCACCACCACCGCCTCCTCCACCTCCGAGAACTTCGGTGGCCCCACCATCGCCTCCGCCTCCTCCGAGAACTGGAGCGGCCCCACCACCTCCAGGGACTACGGTGGCTCCACCACCTCCGCCTCCATTTCCAGGGTCTATGGTTGCCCCACCACCCCCTCCTCCCCCGCCAATGCAAAACGGAGCTCCACCTCCACCGCCTCCACCAATGCCTATAGGGAATAGTGCAGGTGGTGGACCACCACCTCCACCACCTCCTATGGCAATAGCCAACGGAGCAGGAGGACCACCGCCTCCCCCACCTCGAATGGGTATGGCAAACGGAGGGGCTGCTCCACCGCCGCCACCAGGAGCAATAAGAAGCTTGCGCCCCAAGAAAGCAGCTACAAAACTGAAAAGGTCAACCCAATTAGGAAACCTATACAGAATCCTTAAAGGAAAAGTAGAAGGGCGTGATCCTGAGGCGAGAACGGGTAGCGGAAGAAAAGCAGGAGCCGGAAGCGCTCCAGCCGGTGGAAAGCAAGGAATGGCTGATGCTCTTGCTGAGATCACTAAAAAGTCTGCATATTTCCAGCAAATACAAGCAGATGTTGCAATGTACATGAAATCAATCAATGAACTCAAGATTGAGATCACTAAGTTCCAGACTAAAGACATGACTGAGCTTCTTAGCTTCCACCGTCGCGTGGAATCAGTTCTTGAAAAACTAACAGATGAGACACAGGTCAGTAACATTTGAAACATCTTATTACCATCACTTCTATGTCCTCTGTTTTTGTGATTCTTGATTGTGGAAACTGTTTTAAAACTTTTAGGTTCTTGCACGATGCGAAGGGTTTCCGCAGAAGAAACTCGAAGCAATAAGAATGGCAGCTGCATTGTACTCAAAGCTGCACGGTATGATCACAGAGCTACAGAACTGGAAGATAGAACCTCCTTTGACTCAGCTTCTCGATAAAGTCGAACGTTACTTCACAAAGGTAACTAATTTATCCAATTGCTTCCCTAGTTCCCTTGGATTATACTATCAACAACACTGTAATTAAAAGATCGAAAATTGATTGGTTAAACAGATCAAAGGAGACATTGATACGCTGGATCGAACCAAAGACGAAGAAGCTAAGAAATTCCAGAGCCATAACATCCACTTTGACTTCAACATACTTCTTCAGATCAAGGAGACAATGGTTGATATCTCATCAAGCTGCATGGAACTTGCATTGAAGGTAATTAAGAGCTAGAAATATTCAACCCTTTCTTTTTTTTAGTCTCTTCTTTTTACCGAAATCATATCGGATCAATGTCAAATTCACAGGAAAAGAGAGACGAAAAGCTTGTGTCGCCTGACGCAAAGCCGAGCTTGAAAAAGACAGTAGGAAATGCTAAAATATTGTGGAGGGCATTTCAATTTGCATTCAAAGTCTACACATTTGCTGGAGGACATGACGATCGAGCTGATTCTCTAACCAGAGAATTGGCTCATGAGATCCAAACTGATTCTCAAAACCCATGATGATTCCATGGTTTAGATCATCACAACTTACTACTTCTTTTTGCCTTTATCAACACATTAAAATGTTCCAAAATGTTCGATATCGAACGATAAAAGAATATATGTAAATGTA